GTTGTGCGACTGGTGCAAGTAATCAATCATGTCCCCGAAATGAGAAAACAACTAAAAGCCGGATGAAAATGATCGTGATTTTTTTTAAATATTCTAGCAAAATAGCTTGATAAACTATTCATCAGGCAACTGAAATGGTTTTCTGGTTTCTCTGATATGCCAAAACTGTAGTGTCATATTCCCTCTACAAATTGGACCTTCATGAAAAGGTTTTCCAGTAGATGGTCACAGTAGTGAACCTATCCTATATGTTTTTAATCACCATTCTAAGTTTTTCAATAATTCTTCTACAAATTGAAACATTGAGCAAGTATGATATTTGCTTTGAGGAAAGGTTTTCGAGTAGTCAGTGACACAAGTGAACTCTCCATATGTTTTTAATCCACTATTTTCTGAATTTTCATACACTTGGAAGAAATTGTAGTGCGAAAACAAAGAATCCACTACCTTGTTATAAGATAGCAAGCACAAAATTGATGTTGCCGAGATAGCAAGAAAGCTGACCAGATGTCATTGAAATTGAAAGATCATATTGCCAAAAATCGATGATTAGAATTCCACTTTTTCGAATCTTGCTATGATAGCAATATCTTCTCTACAACCATATTGCTATTTGCAAACAGAATCGACCCGAATGTGATCAAATCATTGCCAGAACTTGCAGAAAATTCAACAAAATGTATCCTGAATTGACACTAATGAACAAGAGGAAGTTTGTAAGATTACAAAATAATTTCAGAAAAATCCTGCGTTGCGTTCTCCATAAACGTCTAACGTACCATCGACCGTGAGTTACCCTGTATAAAGAATTGAATTTGAACTGAATGTGATGAAGTTTTGTCCTTTTTTATAAGAATTATACAAATATTTGGTACCTTTATGTAAATTTATTTTACTTATTTTGTAAAATTAATTTGAACAGAGCGTGCCGAAATATTATGCAATTTATAAGTGTAGATCATGGACGTATAATACGTCCATGGTGTAGTTATATGTCTAACTGAAGATTAATAATGATATAATTGATTATAATGACAAATAAGTGTTGTTATTATGGGGCGTTTGGTCCCAGTGCTGGGACCAACAAGGTAATGCAATTGCAACAAAAAAAACCAAATCAAGAGATCAACTGAAATTCAGTAGAACTGCCAAAAATATATTTTTGATAAAATCGCATTTATATGAGTACGTTGTGGAATAAATAAGAGTATTATCGTTATATATCATTGGAAAGGTAATTCTTTCCTGAATCGTAATTTTCAGAAAAAATCTTTGTATTCGAAATAAAAAACTTGGATGCACTTCCGGTCAAACCGGAATGTCATATTTGGTTGGAATCTAGCGAAATTATACACTTATGAAATCAAATAGATGTACCAAATTTGAAATATTCAATCAAAATAGCAACGAAGATACAGGGAGGGTAAATAGGATCTGGGTCACCTGGTACTGTTTAGATATCAAGTTGTTTCAAGATATCGGTTCTTTTATAATTCTACCAATATGATGAATGACCTAAGTACAAGAAAATTCACTTCTTTCACTAACCTACTCATTCCAAAGAGTACATTCACCTACATCTTGAGTCAATAATTACCAATTTAAGCATAGTAAGATAATGCAATTGACATTTATGAATGTGATGAAGAGCTATACATAATTAAGCAAACGGTATAACAACTAATTATAATAAAACACTCCTGAGGCACCATAAATATGCAATTTTCCCTCAATTTTATGGTGAATTATATATTAATGAGGAAAAATGAAGGCATTGAACCAGGGCCTATTTGAACCCAACATTTTGAGGTCAATCAGTTCTGTCTACGAATGGCAATTCAATGTAATTATTTCCACATACAGAGTGTTGAGGTTTCACTGAATCATATGGGCTGTTTCGTGTGATAATTTCGAGATACTTTCACTGCCAAGTAACTTTTATCTTGCAGTTCCAATAGTTTCAGGGGTGGATTCAGAGAAGGGGTATCGAATGATAATAATAATTTCAACCAGATACATTGAATCAACAGTATAATAACAATTCCATCAATAAAATATATGGTTTTCTCAAAAAACAAACTATGTCGATCCAAAATAATATCGATGTTGATTCACCTATAAACATTCTGTTGATTTGATGAAACAATGATCATTTTGATGAGAATATATCTTTGAAACAACATACAAGTTTTCTAATTCTGATGTAGCAATGAAGTCGTTTCGAACGGATCATTTCCTCGAATAGAGCAACAAAATATGTAATATCAATGAAATATTTTGTTCATTCTACATCAAGTTAACTTTTCGCCTCTAGATGGCGATCATTTCGCCTCGTCTATGCCTGCATCGAATTCATTATATACGTGAAGCCTGATTCTTCGTGTTTGAAATATTAGCTGGATAAATCGAACACAGGATGATTAGCAACCCGAAATAGTTTCACATCAGCTAAAGAGAAGTAAAGACTGGAGATCTATGCTAGAAGTCGACTAGTTTACTAGTTTAGTTCATTCTATTCAGAAAATTCCCGAATTGATACTGAATTCGGTTCAACAAAACAATTGGTCGAATGGAAATACAGTTTCTCTTGTATCAACGAATATTTCATTCTTCCAACAAAATATATCATTGAATCACTCAAATATTTCATTGAATTTATTGAATATTTCATTGAATCAACCAAATGATTCATTGAATCAACCAAACATTTCTTTGAATCAACTAAATATTTCATTGAATCAACTAAATATCCGATACAATCAATATCTTGTTATTTTGAATTGAGAAAATAATGCTTTGAGCCAATTCAATATCTCTTCATAAACAATTCATGGATGTGCTTGATTGAATAAGATCCAGAGTTCATGCAAGACATATTCACTTGATTCATACTTCAAATTCGCTCTGAAACAAGATATAGATTTACCTAGAGATTAACTCATTTCAATATTATATTTTGTCGTGCATATTATATGACACTTATATTTGCGTCATTCCATTAAATCTTGCTTGATTCAACGGTACTTTTTTTTCGTGTAGAACTGATTATTTCCTTCGTATGATTTTAATCCAATCACGACGTTCAATCGAGTTAAGCTACCGTGTATAATTTCGAATATACGTGGATATACATAGAGTTACTCCACCAATGGAATATTTCCATAGGTAGTAACCAATTCATATTGTTACACAAAATCAAAGCCCGTCGTAAAATGTTGACGTTCATCGTTCAGAACTACTCAAAAAATAATCGCATCGACTAAAATTCTAACCTCAAATTATTTGAGGTAATACATTCCAAACTTCCTGCATAATTGAAGATCGTGTCAGAATAACAAAATAATCCTCCCGTTTCGCGGTTGGATTATTTCAACTGTCAAACTGACACACTATCCCAGTTAACACAAAATCATCTCAGAGATGTTCGTAGGCTTCACTTTCATGTTACAGATCACACCAGTGAGTCGAAATGTGACTAAAATTAGTATCGCCAACACTTCTATTCGGGGCCCCCTTGACCGGCTTCAGGAATTACAATGCGATGCCTAATGTGACTCGAAATCTGCTGCATGTGACCTACTACTTCTCCTTCAAAATCGAATGCACATTGGGGTACTTTTGATGTTATAATGTGAAGTCGAATGAATCGTTACTAATTACATAATGTGAATCACAATCCGTATCACTGAATATGTCACATTCCGATATCAAAGATGTATTTTAATGAAGTATTTTGTAACTCTCATTCATGTCAAAAACACATGAATTCCAGATGTTGCCAGAGAACTCACAAATTGGGTTTATCAGACCACATTTGTGATACCTTTCAAAAACTACGTACCTCACTTGTTTATATACCTTCATCAAATTTGGTACACGTCTTCTATGCATCAAGATACATTTTTTGATGTAGGTACACAATCAAATTAATTTCTTCTCGACAAATTCATTTTTCTCTATTATTTTCGATTGACATACGTTATTGAACTTAGTTCTCGACATATTATGACAAAATGTTCAACATTTACGTTCTATTTCGTTTTGTAGAACGTGAAACTTCGCTGACATTTTGAACAGAATGTCACATCTGCAGACAGTTTTTGAAACATATATTTTTGTATCTAGAATGCGAAATGATACTTTGCGTTCGAGAATGAAAATTATTTTGCCGAGCTTCAGCGGGACAAAATAATCATTCGAGGAAAAGTGTCTACTGAAGAGCTTTTTAGAAACCTGAAGAAGTCCTGAAGTCCATATGTTCCTCAGTAGAGGTAGGGAAAATAAAGTGAAATGAAATTGTAGGAATAAATTTCGAAGCAAGCTCTACATTATATCGCTGCTACGGGAGTATAATGCCACAACTGCAAAAATTCACTTCTGAATCACAACTGAACAATGTGTCGTCATTCTGCCGGAGAGGGGGGTCATGTCAGAAATGAAAATTTCCTGAGAAGTTAGAAAGATTGATAAACCGCTATAGACGCCTGTTCACATTTAATTATCTTGAAATATAATAAATGCGAATCACTTACTTATCCTTGAGACATTATACAGAGATTCCAAAGAAATTTATTTTCAACGCATTCGATGAACGTACTTGATATGCTAGATAGACTCACAAATAGACATTCATATTTGATTCGGATCGACCAAAGTGTGAGTTTCATTGTGAATAATTCATCTTAATTCGTATCCCGTAGCGGTAACAGCAACTTATAATTTCGATTCGCATTTTCAACATTTGGTGACCTGAATGCGACATCTCATAGAGGTTTGTGTTAACTGGGATTTGTAATTATATGCAACAAGTTATCTATGTATAACCCGAATATTTTGAACTACTTATAGTATTTCTACTGATAATATTTCATGTTCACAAGAATCAATAATCTTTCTGACAGGGAAGTATTTTCCTCAGAAGGTACCAATGAAAATTTCTCTCTTATGGCCCAATCCCTCAAACATCGCCTGGATTCGCCCCTGAATATTTTCTATTGTAGATCGATGAAATTCTGGATCTCCTGAGGTTGACACGAACGAAAAAGACACAAACCAATGCACTGTCTGGTGGAGAACGAAAAAGATTGTCCATAGCTCTGGAATTGATAAACAACCCACCAGTTCTATTTCTGGATGAACCCACGACGTGAGTATCTCTAACACATTGAATTAAAGACACATAGATAGATAGTTTATTTGACCATGTGATGTTATATACTGGGTGTCCCGTTCAAATGAATTATCTCAGCCATTTCGAAAAATAAAAATTCGAAAATTTCATGATCTCAAATTCGTTCAAGCAAACTTCAACTCAGAAACAAAAAATCGAAAGTCACTTCCGGTTTGACCAGAAGTGACTCCAACTTTTTATTTCATATAGCACCCTGTATATTTTTTGCAATTTTTTATTTCTACTCAAAATCACCGTTCCAACGATGTATCACACTCCGTTTTTTTAATTTGATTTGATAAATAAAACGACAATTGAAATTCCAAATTGAACGAATTGCAGTAGGCTGGTAGGATCCGATATTTTTGTATTCTTGATTTTGACTTTCGGAATGGCTGAGATAATCTATTGTAATAGGTATACTGGGACACCCGGTATCCATGTATGGCAGGTCATTGTTGGAAATACCAATACTAATAACATAAACTCTGATGTAAATAGGTACTATATAGTTAAAAAACAGCAAAACGTGAAGTAAAAAAGAGTAAATGACAAAAAAAACGAAAAAAATATATTAACTACAAAATATTCCATGAACATATAAATCAAGTGATCACTAATACACGCATAAAAAAATCGAATATTGATGGACGATGGTAGCAGTGTGATTTGAGGATTGATTTCACTCGATTCTTGAAGAGGTGTGAATTCATTGTTTTTATTGAATCAGTAAGTTCGTTGTATAGTTAAGCAGCATTCGCAATTAGTCTTACCGCTCGTTTCTGCAAACGAAGAATTCTCATTGATTAGCTTGAGTTGCCCCACAAAATGCATTAATGCATGGGTTCAAAACTCTTTTTAATTGTCTTATCAAAAACAGTTGAGTGGAAAGTTCAGCACTTAACTGGTCAATATGTTCAGTCCATTAGAGGCCATCATCAATAATTATGTTTCAGGGTTTTATCTCTATTCAATTTGAGATGATTTGACGCAAACCATATCTCAGCTCTTCTATATGACTGTTTCTTCCTAATAAAGTTGTCAGGTTAATCAGCAAAGCGCGTACATACTGTAGGAGACAAAAATGAAGAATATCATTGGTATATATTATGAATAATAGTGGTCCAAGGACGGAGCCCTGGGGCACTCCATTAATTTGAAGAAAATTTGATAATTTGTTGTTACAAGAAACCGCTTGCTTTCTATCAGACAAATAAGATTTGAAAAAACTATTTGTGGTTCCCCTCACACCATAAAAATCCAACTTCTGTAATAATATGTTGTGAGATACACAGTCGAAAGCTTTCGTTGAGTCAACTCAAGTAATACAGCTATGCATGCTTTCCTTCTTCAAGACTCAACTAAGTCTGTCACTATACTCTTCACTGATTGAGGTGTTGAACAATTGGTTTTAAACCCAAATTGTTTGTTATGCAGGATATTGTGTTTTTTAAAAAGTTCAAGTAGTCGATTTTTTACAATTATCTCAGTAATTTCACCAAATGATCTATGCTACTTTTAACAATTTTGCTGTTTAAAAAATGAGCATCACAACAACTTGAGTTTTTTAACTTCATTAGAGCTGAAAAAACCTCAGCAGGGATAACTGGGAACAAGAAGAGAGAGTTTTTAGGTCTAGGAAAGGTCTCGTCAGAAATTGGTTTGTAAAATATTATCAGCAATATTTATGAAATAATGGTTGAAATCGAGGTTGAAATCATCAGAATGGATTCCGTTGACTTTGACATGTTTCAAATGATTTCGTTCATGATTGATTAAACTCCAAGTATATTTACGGGTTGAGTTGAAAAACAGCTTTCTGCTGATACTCCGCCTATTCACCATTGCAGATAGATATATAAGGTATGGCAAACTATCTTTGTCTTTTGATTTTCATTTGTGCAATCTTTTGTCCTGCAAATGATAAATAAAGACGATTTATTATTATGATTAATTATTATTATTATCTATATTCTCAAAAAATTACTAATATAATCTTGAATAATTTTAATGACACGATTATTGCGCTTTGATCATAATATCATTTAAATGAGTAAAAGAATATCATGTTTCATTCATTTAAATGAATAGCGACATTTCAACGTGAACAATGAAAAATAAGTTAATAGCCATCTCTCCTTATATTTTCTGCACATGGTAAGATTCCTTTCGTCAGTAATGATTGTACGTTTAACATGGATGTTTCTCACATGTACTCGTTATATTTGTCTGATGATGGCCAAGTGCAGACACTGGTAACAATACTTACGTAATTAAAATGTTTGTGTTCGAACGGCTTTGGGTTTTATGTATTTTTTTCAATCATGAGAAATGACTGTGAGTGCTAAATAATAATAATTGAATAGTCGTTGAATTACATTGATAATTTCATCCACACCCGGCTGGACCTATGAAATATCATGATTGAAGTCACATGATATGCGATATCAGCGGCTATTGAGGTAAACAAACAATATGAGCGGCTATTCTGTTCGCCAGCATAAGAGTGCTATGGTTCTCAAAAAGGTCAAACTTTGACATACCTATCAGTCACTCAAAAATTGAAATGTCTCATTTCCACTACGGAAATCCGTAATCATGTAAGCGAATCGATATCAGAAAATAACAAGGAGAGTGAAGAGTCTGTCTGGAACAATTCATGTTTTTTCGCCAGTAGCAAAACTATGAATTTTGTGCGACTACCCCATCTCTCGTGATTGCCCAAATCCTAATAGATTGGGCGAGGAGAATGGTGAGGAATATTAGGAATACACAGTTGAAATTGATATAGAAAACTATATATACAGGACGCTTACTTCGATGAACATAAACGTAAGACAAATCCATTTGAATATATCGAATTCAAAGGTGCCAGGGTTGCGCATAATGCAAAAAGGCGAAGCCTACAATATTTTCCTCAAACAAGAAAGGAAAGTACAGAAGCTGGTTCAAGTTTCGTTTAGCTGAAATCAGTTATGGAAAATTTGTTGCTATGGCAACCATTGTCATGGTAACAGGTAAACAGAAAACAAAATCCCGTGGTGAGGAAATGCATGGTTGCCAAGTTGTATCGGGTTCAGTATAGCTGAAATCAGTTATGGAAAAACTGTTGCCATGACAACGATCGTCATGGTGAGGAGTAAACAAAAACCTGATTACCGTGGTGAGGAAATGCGTGGTTGCCAAGTTGTATCAGGTTTAGTTTGGCTGAAATCAGTTATGGAAAAATTATTGTCATTGTAACGAGTAAAGAAAAATCATATTCCCGTATATTTGTGTTCCTTAAATTTGGACTTGCAATAAGGTTTTGCTGGCACCAAACATTGACTCAGAGCAAATTCATAACTCTTTCTGATTTATTGGAAGAGAAAGTTCGCCGAACGAAGACATTTTGAACTGACACTCTTGTGACATTTCTTAATCAATAAATGGAAAAATCAGCGCAATCTTCGACCCTCAACTTTTGTTTCACAAAAGTTCTTGCTAGTATTCGAACAATAACTTGATTCGAATGAATGCCCTTCTCATCAATTTTTTGAAGACTGTTCGTCGTTGATTAATTCCCAAATTCCTACTTCTCTGAAAATCATATATGGAAATAACGTCAGGAAAAAATAGGGTCTGTTGTTGAACAGAGCTAGACAAAATAGCGAGTGACAAAATAATGTGGAACAAATAGCGCATAAGGAAGAATACTACTTTTTCCAAACAATCTAACCTAACTCGGCCTAAATGAAGCTTCTTAGAAAAAATATATCTTTCAACATCGATCAGATTTGGTAGCAAGGCATCGTTCGTGTGTGTTTGAAGACTGCATTAAAAAGGACACTACTTTTTCCAAACAATCTAACCTGACTCGACTTAAATCAACCTTCTTCTTAAAAAACATATATTTTCCAACATCGTTCAGATTTGGTAGCAAGGCATCGTTCGTGTATGTTTGAAGACTGTTGCTGAATCAAAATGTGCGCGTGAAGAAAGGTATGAGTGAATCGAAATGAAGGCAAATGGAAATGTGAATATTCCAAAATGGCTCTGTTTCTTTTTGATTTTGTCGAATAGCTCGGCACGCGAAGGATAGTTACATTGAAGAGTGTTTTTGAAATTAATGAATGAAGCAATATTTCTCCGATACAACTTGGCAACCACGCATTTCCTCACCACGGGAATAGGATTTTTGTTTACTCGTTACCATGACGATCGTTGCCATGGCAACAGTTTTTCCATAACAACTGATTTCAGCTTACTAAACCCGATACAATTTGGCAACCACGCATTTCCTCACCACGGGAATCGGGTTTTTGTTTACTAGTTATCATGACGATCGTTGCCATGGCAACAGTTTTTCCACAACTGATTTCATCTATACTAAACCCGATACAACTTGTCAACCAGGCATTTCCTCACCACAGGAATATGATTTTTGTTTACTCGTTACCATGACGATCGTCGCCAAGGCAACAGTTTTTCCATGACTGATTTCAGCTAAACGAAACTTGAGCCCAGAAGCTCTAATCAAAGTAACGCTATCAATAGCGTAAATATTCTTTTTTCGCTCTAACTTTAGATGAATTGATTACAATTGTACGTAGATATGATGAGAATACCTCAGACGGCCTTCAGAAGAATTTTTATTCAAATAGTATCTGCAGAATTATAACTTGAATGAAATGTGTAACTCATATGAACCAGTATTTTTACAGTGTTCATGAAATAATCTTCCTGAATATCACTCGACTATGACAAATGAGGACTAATATTTTCTTCAATTCATCTCGAGTAACTTGTATTTTGGGACAATTCAATTCGACCATATGAACATAAATAATCATAGAATAATGTTCATATGGTCTCATCAAATTGTCAAAATACAAGGTCTCGATAGAATTATGGAGAAAATAATAGTCGACTATTTTTCATGGTCTCGGGATATTACCCACGATAATACAATAAAGCTCCTGATGGACTGCAATTAT